AAGAACAAGTTAGAAGGGCGCCGGAGTGTTTTCCGACGTATCCCCTCCGACGATCTAGTTAGTCTTTGAGAAAAAGAGAGGAAGGAGAAAACACTGAGTGTGTATTGTAGTAAAGAGTTTTTTGTTGCATACCCGTCTTGCCTTTTGCAAGGAGTATTTATACCTCAAAAGCTCATGATTGCTGTCAGTGTAGTCAGTAGGTGATCATTAGGTACAGGCAGTGTGCGCACTGATTCTGATGAGGAATGTCTTCTCTTCTTAACTGCTCGGGGTCCCGAGCAATCAATGCTGGGTCATCGGGATGCCGACGGTACAATGTACTCCTCTCGGGGAGGATGCAATAAATGCTCTGTATTAGGAGCATTTATTGCCTTTCATTTCCGAGCCTTACCGCATTGAATGCGGTCTCATCAAGGGAATGGTGTAATTAATCGTTTGCTTTCCCAAGTCGCGTGTCAGCAACGGCATGCGGTTTCTCTGTCTTCGATGTGATATCATACGCCACGCGTCCATCCCCCATTGGCTGTGGCCCCTGCATTCCAGTACGTTCTGACACTAATTGTGTAAGACGAGGTCATGATGAATAGCCTAGAATAGCCTAGGCTAATGACCTGTACGTCAATAGCTTATCCTGGAGTAGAGGAAGCGTCCAGGACGGGGTACCTCTCGGCACCGAGGAAAGGCTCATCTCGGAACCGAGGGAGGTATACCGACCGAGGTACCATATCAGACCGAGGTTACGTGTTGGTTGTAACTCGTACTGAAATGCCATGATCCTATATGACGAGTACCTCGGGGGCGAGGACCTTTATGCGCCGATGGTGCTTGATCTTAGTAACAGTGTTTTGGTAAATACCGAGGACACGTGTCTTCATCATGGAGTATTTCAGAAAAGTCCCATCAACTGCCCCCCAGCCTTCGATCTTCTGACACCGAGGGCACGCGTCGTAAGGAGACGAAGGGTTTCCCAACAACCACAAATGCTTCATCATTGCCTCGAGCCACTTTCCCCAGTTTAGGATGTCGTGTGCATTAAATGCGCCATTTCGTTTTTTGTGCCCAATGATGAAACAACCACTATATAAATGGGGTTCCTCTTGCATTTTCTTGTTTCGCCATTTCGAACTTCCTCAAGAGAGCCTTTTCCTGAATCTTCGCCGGAGATCTCTTTCCTCTTCCATCGTCGACTGCCCATTCTTCCTTAAAGTCTTAAGGCCAGCAGACCCATCGTTGCTTCTGAACTTTCTGGAAGGAGNTTCCTGAATCTTCGCCGGAGATCTCTTTCCTCTTCCATCATCAACTGCCCATTCTTCCTTAAAGTCCTAAGGTCAGCAAACCCATCGTTGCTTCTGAACTTTCTGGAAGGAGTCGCCTAAAGTTTTTCAGAAAAAACTCCATTTGGCATTCGGGTGAGTCCTAGTTTCTTTCTTCTTTTCTTCCTCCTATCCCTTTTTGTTTTCCGATGACTGGAGGTGTCTCCGGTTGATACTTAGCGACTAATCCTCGGGAAGCTTCCTCAGGGATTTTTAAGAAAAAACACCCTCCACTTTCTCACTTTCTTAGAG